ATCTCTCCCCATGATAATATGTATATTTGAGGAGTTCTGATGTGACAGCATTTTTCTCTTCTCCTGAAGATGTTTGCAGCCCCTTGAAATTTTTGCCATTCAAGTTTTCTGCTCGAGAACTATCTATAAAAGATGACGTTAAAGCACCAAGTCTTTTAAACCATGGCCTGATAAATCCACACCCTCCTCCAAGTGACCAAAACCACTTTTTGGAGGGGTTGAGCATCACTCATCTCAGAGCCTCTTGTGGGGAATTGCTTCCTGGCTTTGCACAAGTCCTCATGCACAGGGAGAGGCTTTCACCTTTCCATGCAAGCCCCATCTCTTCAACTCCTGCACCAGGAGGTCTCTAATGAGACCCATGGGCTGGAGCATGTGCGATAGACGGTAGGTCCACATGGCAGCCTCGGAGCTGAAGAGCATCTACAGAGAAGTTGGAATTCTCAGTCTGGGCCCTCTGCTCTAGTCCCTGTACTCAGGGTCTCGCCCTCCATATGCTGACTTGGAGTGCCACTGGGTATGCATGGCCTGTGTGAGTTCCCCATCCCATCCCTACTCCCCTGCCTCTTGAAGACAGGAGGAAAACGCTACACCAGAGTCACCTCTAGACTTCTCTACTCACTCCCCTGACTCTCCCATTTCCTGACTTTCATTCCTCGAGGGCCTTGGTTGAATTTTCCTGAGAGTGTTCTTGGGTCAGAGATAACCATTCTCCCTCTCCTTAGGACACCTTGGCAGGTCTTTCCATCTCCAAGGGTCCTGGCACCACCTTGTCTCCTTGTGGTGTCTGTCCCTGGGAACTGGAGCTGGCTATCTCCTGGGTGGGACTTCCTGTGGCTAGGAGCCTCACATCAGAAGCATATTGATGGAGTGATCATCTCCTTCCAAGGTTGTAGGTGTCTTCTGGGGCACCTTCTGATCATCCTCAGTGTCATTTTACACAATTACAGTCACAGATTATTACCATTTTTACTTCCTCTTTTTGTGAATTACCTGTTGAAGTCATTGGCCACTTTTTAATTGGAATGGTTTATTTATTTTTCTGTTGATTCTCAAGAGTCCTTTGCACACAAAAAATATTTTCGTATTAGCTGACACAGGTGTTACAAATATTATTCTCAGCCTGTCATTTGACTTTTAATTTTGTTTTAGATTTTTGCTAACATGCAAAGCACACTTGACACCATAGTTATTAAGAAAGCATTGTATAACTTTAAATAAGTTGGTTTTTAAGACATTGTCACTAATTTCTAGTTTTAGTTAATTTGGTTAGAAAATGTATAGGCCGAAAATTAAACAATTTCTTCTTCGAGGGATTTATTGAAGTTATATTGTAGCCTACTATATGATTTTTTTTGCAACTGAGCCATAGCATTTGAATAGAAGTTTCATTCTGTCTTTATATTTATTAACATATATCTAGGTAATACATTATTATTTACATTATGTATACTTGCTTTTTCCTATATGATTAGTCAAAGTCTAAGACATAGGTTAAAGTTTTCAACCCATGTCTTTTTCATCATTTTCTCCACTTAAGTCTCTTGACTCATGTGTTTTTTCTAAATGACTATTTAATCCACCTAATTTTTTCATTGTTATTTTCAGTTAAAATTCTACTTCGAGGCTTTCACATTATTTCTGCAACAACTGCTTTCTGTTTATTTGCATTTCTTTATTATGTCTTTGTTCAACTTGTTCTTTTTAATGTTATTGAGTCATTCTGTTTTAGGTGTTCATCTTATAGCATACAATTAGACTTTGTTTATTTAGGCAGTCTGAGAGCTTTTCTGTATTTTAACCCATTTATATTTATTGTCACAACAGAAACATTTTTACTTTATTTTGTCATTTTTATTACACAGTTTGAATGCTTTTGTGCTATTTCTTTTAAATGCATTTACTGTGTATGTTCTATTTGCTTTTTTTTCTATGAACTTTGCTTTTGGTTTCCTTTGAATTATTAAAAAATATAATTAGACACATGATTATTTGCAGGAAGGCTTTCTGTTTACTTTTCCCTCTGCAAGATGAGGTGGCTAGCACGTTACTTTTGCAAACTTTCCCCTACCTCTTGAATAATTTTGTTTGTTAAGTCTCTCTGAAGGACCCTGCTATCTTAGTAAACTATTCTTCCAGAGTGGCCATCATGCTGGAGCAACAGCTCTATGGTGTGACTGTCATCCCCAAGGCGCTTCACCTAACTCCCAGGCAGCCACATGCTGTTTCACAACAGATCCTATCACCTAAGGAAGCTGACTCTTTTCAGCCATCACCATGATCTTCAGTGGTTCCCATTGGTTCTCCACAGTTCTTTTGTTACAGCTGTTGGAGTTTCAGGCCCTGGTGAGAACACTAGTCTTTGAATCCAGTGACCTGGAGTGACCACGTAGGCCACAAAAAGATTTCACGGGGAGGTTTTCCTGTTGGTCTCATCGTCTACCTTATATTCTATCCATTGACTTGAACTGAGGAGTAAAACACAGGAGAGGGAGGGTCCTTTTTAGAGGCTGTCAGGTGTTGGAGATGAAAACTGAAGACACTTTGAACAAGAGCAGTGGTTCTGATGTCTGGCTGGTTTTTTACCTCAAAAAAATGCCTGCTTCCAGTGGTTCATCCTAATAGCAGAGATATATGACATGGGAAGATTTGAGAAATGCTAATAAGGTAGAATAAAAAGGAAAATGGAGATGAGGGCTGAGGCAGAAGGAGAGGCCCACCCTGGTCTCCAGCTTGGGTGACTGAATGGGTCATAGAGCCACTTACCATATTCCATATTTCAGAAAGAATGGCCCGTTGGTCAATGAGGGAAAAGGTTTGAGGAGGAAGCTGTGCGGAATCTGCTGCATTCACGTCATTGATGTGCTACCTAGGTAGAAACATGGATCTGTGAACTGGATACGTAAGACGGATGTGTGGGTGAAAGGTCTAGGGTGCAGAGCTGGGCTTGGGAGTTATCAGTGCATTGGCAGCTGTTGAAGGGAGAGTGTATGCAGTGAAAAGATGACTAACGGGAGCCCACGTTAGAAGGCAGGATGGAGAAGGAGCAATGCCTACAGACCTGTGGTAGAACAGGGCCAGATTCATGAGAAAAATCATAAGAATTAAGTGTTATCTGAGCCTAAATAGAAAAAAGACCCAGAAATGGAGAGTCCATGAACACTGACAGTTGTAGAAGAATGGTCAAGTTGTGACAATAATTCTAGTAAATATTTCTTGAGAATGTACCATGTGCCATACATTGTTTTAAGTGGGGTGTTAACTCCCTTAATCTAAAAAGTCACCCAATGAGGTAGACACTGTAATTAAAGATGCAGAAAATGAGGCACAGAGCAGTAACATAACTTTCCCAAGACCACTAACTAGCAAGTGGCACAGCCAGGACTTGAACCTAGGTACTTGGAACCAGAGTTTAAGCACTGCACTATCTTCCTTCTTAAAGTAAGATAAAGACTGAAAATATCTACGGGATTTAGCAATTAGAAGATTTTTAGTATCTTCTGTGTAAGCAGTTTTAGGGGAAGTGTGGAACATGGAATCCAGATCATATTAGGTTGAAATTTTGCAACGGAGAGTCAGGGAATGTTGGGAGTGAATGAAGATAAAACTACTGAGAATTGTAAGTGTTACTGAAACACAACTGGATGGTATTACAGAAAACCTACTGCTAAAGGGTGGTTTTTAAAGAATAGGAGAAGCTGTTGACATGTCAGAATTAGGGATGAAAGGGAGGATTTGGAGATATAGGATAGAGAGAGAAAACCAAAAAGAATCCAAAAGCTGGAAAATATAGCAAGAGTCCGGGTCAAGAGCACTGGTGTTCCTTGCAAAGAAGAGGCAGGGAATGATGTGGTTGGATATCAAGTCAATGGGTAAAATGTTAGAAGTCAGTCCCTCTCTTTCCCTCTTGCCTCTTGAAGATGTGGGTGTCTGCTGGGATTACATGGGTGCATGTTGAAAGGGCAGCAGTTGTGTAAGGTACAGGATTGCAGAAGGCAGTTGTGTTATAGGCTTGGCAAAGTTGAAATAAAGGTGCAAAGGAATGGGTGCTTTAGGAGAGACTCGTATGGAGTCTGAGGAGCTCACATGGTAGCCTGGGCCTTCTGCATTAATAAGCCAAGGATTAGATAAGAAAAGCAGAGGTCCAGGCTACCACGTGTGCCTGAGGAGCAGGTCAAGAGGAGTCAACTGGGAGAAGACTGTGGGTAGAGATTGTGCTGGAGTATGGGAAAGTGAAATTTCCAATTTCTAGAAGGTGAAAAATGAGGTGAAAGTAGGGCTAAAGTGGATTGGAGAAGGCCATTAGAACTAGAGAGGTCAAGGATGTTGGTCGTGCTACCCACACAGACATTGATATCTACTTGGTGAAGATACGGGTTGAGTGATGAGGGAAGCTAAATACATTACAAAATTTTTATGGAAATAGCAGTGTAGGTGGAAGTCAGTTGCCTTCTACTCCTGGATACCAAGAGGTAGATTGCCACTTATTTTTAAGAGTGTTATTATAAATTCAAATGTAATACGTTCCTTGGCAATGTAGAATCAACTCATGGTAAACCCTCCTTGGCTTATGGTAACTTCCAAAGTAGGCATCTCTCTTATCCTTTATAAGAAAGTTGGGATATTAGAAAGTAGTTCTCTGTAGAAGGATGGTCAAGTTGTGGCTTGACCCTTGAAGCTGCAATGAAAAAGATACAGATTGGGGTTTCCAAGACCTCGGTGTTTGAGTCGTTTTTCCTGCATCTAAGTGTTATTTCTGAAATTCATTAAAAATATTCCATGCAACTGGCGCTTCCTTTGCTAGCTACCAAAGTGTGGCCTTTTTGCCTTGTGTTGAAAATCCCAGTCAATTGCCAGGGTAGCGTGCTGTCTTAATAGAAGGTTTCTTGGGTAGCTTCTGATGGGAAGTTGAAATATAAAGGGCTGGGGGCCGGGCAGCTTCCTATGATGAATGCCTACAACCGTTTCTGTGAAATTGACTACCACCCTGTGTGTTGCAGGTGATATTTGAATCCGTCTCATTGAAGGGTCATCCTGGCTACATTGCTGTGGACGAGGTTCGGGTCCTTGCTCATCCGTGCAGTAAGTATGTCCCTTCCTCCCAACACAGCCTTGATCCGTGCCAGACTGGGTAGCATAGAGCCTACAATCCCCTCCGTTCATTCAGCTCACAAACATCTCTCTCTCTCTCTCTCTCTCTCTTTCTTTTAATCCTTCAGAAATGCTTACATACTCAATGCAATCAGTCCTGAATAAATCCATAATTTTACCGGCCTGTTCAACAGGCAGCACCTCCAGGAATTTGCAGAGAGTGGCAAAACATCTTTATTTGAATCTCTCTCCATTATTAAGGGAGTCTAAAGTCCTGATTGTTTATTAGTGGGATTCAGACCACTGAAGTGGAAGAATTAGAGGGCTTTGGATAGAATCTTGTGCAATTGTCTTTAAAAAAATAAAGAACACCACCAAAACACTGAGCAAATTAGCACACTGTTCACTTACAGAGAAAAGTACCCTGAAGCTATTAATTCTTTTAAAATAATTTTAAATATACTCATCAGCTCCGTGTAGGCATAGAGGGAGATTTCTCATAGTGGTTAGTACTTATGGTACAGCGTCAAGAGTCCTCAAAGGCGTGCCACTCCTTCATACCCATCCACTTCTTTGCCATATTTAGTCTCAGACATTGGAATGTTTTTCAGCAGGGAGATGTGGTTTCTGGGTTTGCTAAATCTCGGAGGCCGTAAGTCCTGAGTACAGGTAGTTGAGATGACATCATACCCAGTGACATTTGGTTGGGGGGACTGAAATAAAACTGATTTGCATGGAGATTATGGCAGCCCCTGGGAGGGGTAGCTGGGACGCCAGGCCCACGAGTTTGTTAGTGTTCTACAGATTGGAGATTCCCAGTAGTTTCTCGGCAGCCATCCAGTTCTAGGTAATCCCCTGTGGGCTCTCTCCACTCCTCCCATATGGCCATGTGTCGTGCTTTGGGCTGTGCTGCAGTTTGCTGCTGCCTCCAGAGACATCATGGGTCCTCCTCTCCTTATGTGCTTCTCAATCCTCCCATTTAGGGACTATTCTGATTTCAGCCTCATCCATGTTGCTTTAATTGAAATGACTTTCCATTTCTGCTGCAATGAATTTGTCAGACCCTCAGATGTAACTTCCCTCCCTCTGCCTGGCACTAGAATGCCATTGTCTGACTCATTGTCTTAGAGCCCCTTCTCTGAAGGAATTTGGAACACATTACAAATTCTGAACGTTATTTTGAGAAACTCTGTTTGGGTCCTGTGCAGGACAGATCCTCTTTCCCAAGAAGCAACTGGTATCTTAGGAATGCTGATATGCTACTGGGCTCTTCGTTGCACTGGCTGAGAGTCCCTACCCTCTGGGTTACTTCCTGAGTCTTTTAGAATTTCTCAGATGGGTCTGTCATTCAGTCATGCCTGAGGAAATGTTTCTGTTGACCCAGACTTCATGTGAAGAGGATCCCAGAAATCCCCCCAGCTATGCAGGGTTTATGTAGTAGATAGGCATATGAATCTCCTTCCCCAGGGTGAAATACTCGCCACCCTGGACTCATGGGAGTCAGCATCAGCTGCTCATTGGAGAATGATCTTTGGTCTAAGACTGGGCAACTGTGTTGGGAGATGTCAACGCTACCTGTGGTCCATTTAATTGCATGCGCTCAACCTTGCACCACCTCCAGTTTCAAGATAGTCTCTCTGAAACATGCCTTCTGTCTTCCTCATTCCCTGCCTACATCCCATCCACTCAGAGCATGCTTGCCTCTGCCACATCTACCTGTGTTCCTGCTTCTTACCTTGTGCTGGATGCTTGGACTTTGTCTTTCTAGTGGGTGACAGCTGGCTTTTCCCAGGGGAAAATAGCATGAGTCTTGCTACCTGGATCCCAGAACTTTGTGCTCTAATGGGAGTTTTCACTTCCATCCTGATGCCCAACCTTGACACCTGTCAAGCCGTAACTACCTGTCAAGCCGTAACTACCTTCAAGCCCAGAGTGGTAAAAGCTCTGCCTTACCTCCAAGCACTGACCATGGTTTGCTGTCACAAGCATATGCACCATTCTCTTTGATAAATATCCATGGGAGAGGGTTCTCTGGAGGGCACTGGAATGACTGTCCACCCCGCAAAGTCTCATGAGTCCTCTTGAAATTCTCCTTTCACTGGGGCTGCTCCTGAAGTTAGAATTCTCCTGACAACCTCACCCTCCCCCTGCAGAGGGGTGTGGGTTGCATGGTTATGAAATTGCTGAGAGCCAGTTACCCAGCAAATGGACCATGGGATATAACTCAGAAAGGCATGATCCTGGCTTTATGTCCACGTAATGTGCTTCTGTTGGGTTCAATCTCAGTGTTGAGGCAGCTTAAGCATAAACTTCCCAGAAACCACTATGTGAAGACCCCATAGGAGTGGCTGGAATTGGAAAAAATTCACCTCACTATATGGACAAATACTGGCAGTGTATATAATGCCTGAGGTATATCCACAGCTCATGAATCATGTGGAGTTGAGTAGGGCCTAGCAAAGTCGCTTTCCTAAGGACCAGTGCTCAGTCCATACCTAGCCCAGGTTTTTATTCTTTCTTTCAGCAAGCGCGTATGTCAGCTATGTGTTAAGAACTTTCCTAGGCACGGTGATACTTAAGTGACTAAGAAAGGTTAGGTCCTTGTACTCATGGTGTTTGACTAGCAGGAGAGGCAATGGAAAGAAAGTCACTAAATCAGTAATATTAAGTAACCCAAAATTTCAGATAGTGAAAAGTCCTGTGGATATAATAAGTGTGGGTGTCTGGGATATGGGAGGGCTTCTTGGATATAGTGGTCAGAGGAGATATCTTTGAAAATGTGACCTGAGCTGGGACTCAAATCACAGGAAGGAGTTCACAGTCTAGTGATTTGTGGGAGGGGTGCTTCAGACAGAGGTGACAGCGATTACAGAGGCCTTGCACAGGGAGTTGGCTTGATGCTGCCAGCATGTCCTGAGCATACGGAGCACAGGAGAAAGTGGTTAGGGCAAATGTTGGGCAGGAAAGCCTGGACCTTGGGCATCATGGTGAGTAGTTTAAATGTTTGTGTAAGTGCAGGGAGGCTCTGCTGCAGGGAGTGCTGCTGGAGAAGGGTCACTTGGGCTTCTCTGTGTTGAAGGACCATAAAGAAGATGTCAGGAAACCTAGGAGGAAGAAAGTTCTGGAGCCATGCAAGAGGCGGTGGTGGCCTGCACCAGGGTGGTTGAGGGACATCCATTCATCATCCAACAAGTATTTATTGAGCATGAGCTCCATGTCAGGCACCATTCTGGGTTTGTGGGAGTGAGAAAGACAGATTGACTGTCTGTCTTCATGGACTTCTGTTGAAGTGAAGGAGGCTGAAACAAAACAAAGTAATTATATGATTATAATCTATGTATTATATAATTATTATACAAGTATGATATAGAATATAGAATGATATAGAAGTATGTATTATATAAATGTAAGTTATAATATATAAATATATAATCATATAATTATATAATTTACATTTATATATAATATATATTTATAGTTATATAATGTGATTATATAATTATATGCACAGACGGTGTGTTAGTTTGCTAAAGCTGCCATAACAAAACCCCTCACACTGGATGGCTTAAGCAACTTAAATGTATTTTATTTTCTCACAGTTCTGGAGGCTGGCAGTCCAAAATTAAGGTGTTGGCAGCACTAGTTTCTCCTGAGGCTCTTTCTTTGCTTGCAAGTGGCTGTCTTCTTGCTGAGGCCTCACATGGTCATTCGTCTGTACTCACAGTCCCTTGGTGTCTCTCTGTGCATTCACATGTCCTTCTCTGTTGAGAATACTGGTCAGATTGGATTGGATTAGGGCTTTCCCTAAAGGGCTCATTTTAATTTCATCACATCTTCAAAGGCCCTGCTGCTCAATATATTTGAGATACTGGGGGTTAGGGTCATATATCAAAAGATAAATCTGGGGGAGGCACAGTTCAGACCATGACAAATGATAAGCAGGGCAATGAAGAAACAGAGCATAGAGGTGGCCAGAGGTGCACAGATTAGAGACCCATTTAGGAGGCAGAGCCAACTGGTCTCATCTGATGAATTGGATTAGGAGTCAGGCCTCAGACATGGTGCACTCACAGATTTCCAGCTTAAGCAAGGTGGTGCGAGCCGGGGAAGAACTGAGCAGGCTGCCTTGTGAGGAGCCAGCTATGGGCCCCAGGGGCTGCTTTCAGGGATTACCTGTTATGCAACTGGATAGTAGCTTCTGAACTCCCCTTTAGACTAATGGTGCTTTTCCCCAACCTCCAGTCTTAGAATTTATGACTTCGCTCGTAGATGGTTAAAAATTTAACTATATTGAAATATATGCATTCAATTCAAAAAAGCCTGTGGACATAAAGTCTTTTTAATTCTCCCCTTCTGTCCTCTAAAACATATTTTCTATTAACATACGGTCAGAGTTTATCAATAAGTGATTCCACTAAATATTCCAAAAGTTCCAGGGAGCGAGTGACTGATTTGCAATTGTATCTTCCATTGATTGGCACTGAAATTAGAACTGTAGATAATCGCCTCCAAGCTCCCAAAACAGTAAGCAAAAGACAGGCGTAATACTCAAAGGAAATTATTTTCTCTTACAAAGGGAAACCTCTCATCTATATTTTATAGCCCATTTAACATTTTTGTGTTATTCTAAAAGTATTCTAGCCTTAGTTACCCTCTGCTGCTGTTTCTCAGTGTTAGCCATTAGCAGGGCCAAGGCAGTTATAACTGTGTGCCATAAATGTCAGTATGATTTTTCCAGTCTGTTTCAAAGTTTCTAGCTTCTAAGTTGACTTTTCTTTCCCCCTCACGATCTTGTGGGGCCATGTCCCTGAGCCCACAGAGTGTCTGCGGCATGTTTCTCCACAATTGTGTGGCTTCCTACTGAGCACTGGCAGGTTTAAAGAGCAAGATAAAGGGCACAATAATATGTCTTCAGATGCTGCACTGACATCTGCAGGAGTCTAAATGTCACCAACGTCAAGGCGTTTTTGCCCCAAATGCACAGCCAGTCTTCTGTTAAGCCCATGCAGTGGCACCCAATCTGGGCGGAATTGGGTCTTAGTGCGGAGTGAGTAGGAAATGCTTAGAACCACGAGCTGATGGCTGACCTGGGTACAAAGGTCAACCGTGTTTGGCTGAAGGTGAGTGAGTTGAAGCTCGTGGAGGATAAGTTCTCTCCCAGAGCAGCAGATGCTGCGGGAAGGCGACAGTTGGGAGAGCCTGTGGCTGATGGGCAGGCTGTGTGAGGGCATGGAAGAAGGAGGGTCAGAGAGGCCAGGAACACAGCGAAGAGGACCGAACAGGTCCTCCACATAAGCACAATCCCCAGAGAGCACTGCCTGTCATGAGCCAAGGATGACCCAGAGCCCCAGGGAGCAGAGACAATGGTCCTGAGCAAGAAGAGAGTGGTCTAGATCAGCTCCTGTGCTGGGAACTGCAATTGGGGCTGGCCTTCATGTGATGCCCACAGCGTACTGCATGGAGTGGTGGGGACGTTCCTGCATGTATGGGGCTGGATCGGGTGAGACTGGCTAGTGGAAATTGTTGCAGTTGACTTACATAGGAGCTACATATCAGAGACCGCAGATTGATAGAGCCTGCCTGCCCACATGTTTTGTTAATCCTGTATTGTGTTTTAATAACATGTTGAGTTTAGAGTGAGAGACTTCATGTAAAGTCTGGATTTCTTACTGGCCTTGAGAAATCAGATGTTTGACACCCCTATACAAAGCATGCATGCCTGGCCTACCTCTGCTGAATTTAAGTAGGAACTGCCTCCTTTCAGTGGGACGCAGAGTCTCTCTCCATTTCCCTCCAGTCCTCACCACTCCTATTGTCTCCCCAGTGCTAAGGCTACTGGTGGATGCCAGTTGTTATTGTGCTTGCAACATTGCTTTTCTTATATAAATAAATGTTTATTTTTCTCAAGTCTCTATCCAAAGTGGGAAAATAAAAGATGGGGCAAGGAAGTTGTATTTTTGTTCTGTTTTACAGCTGAACAACTTTATCAATTTACATAACTGGCTCTTGTAGGTGCATGCGTTCATAATCTCTGCTGTAAATCGCCAGTATTTGCCCAGAATATTCACACTAGGAGGCATTAAACATCTAAACTCTCTACCACTGAACCTAGAAGGGAGGGAAGAAGAGGAATTGAAGATGAAAGAATCAAGGTGAAAGGTCTGTTGCTAAGAAGGAGGAAGTGGAGAGGAGTCAGAGGCATGCCAGGGACATTGATCCAGAGAAGATTCATTGCTAATTGTACATATCCCAGAGGTTAAACCATTTTCTCGAAGGGTAAGGGAAGAGTGTTTCTTTGTAAAACCAAACACAGAGTTTCCCAGCATTGAAGCTAAGACTCTGCACTCCCTTCCCACCTGGGGTGGATGTGTTCACTCCCCCTTTAAACCTGTGGTATGAACAGACTTACAAGGTTCACTATATTTCCACTTCAAGAATGGACTTGAACTGATAGTTCCAAAAATAACTTTATAAAATGATACAGGAGAGCCAAAAGGAAACAATTTCAGACAATCGAAGCAGCATGGCATTTGTCAAGTTGACTAGATGCAGGAATTTTCAACTCTGAAAAGCCCATAGAAGTGGTTTTCCCTGGGCCTTGGGTCCTTGACACCAGCCAGCCATGGTGGTTCAAAGGTAGCCTGAGGGATCTCTGAGCTGCTGTTATTAGTTTAAAAACCTGAGCAAAAGTACATTGGGGAAATGGGGATACTGCCCACTTCCTGGATTTTTCTGGGGGTTTCCGTGAGATACGACGTGTCAAGTTCTTCAGACAGTGTCAGAGTCATCCTAAGTGATACATGAACTCTTCACTGAGCCAGGCCACTTCTCAAGCACCAATTCCACCCTGCCCAGTGCTCTCCCAAGAAGTCTGCCTAATTGTTCCAAGATTCTTGGCTTTTGCTGAGCTTTATAGGTGCTGACACAGATAGGTAGACCAAATATTTCAAATCAAGGAAAAATAGCAAGGAAAGGGGTCACTTTTAATAAAATATTTGGGAGCATGGAAAGAAACCTGAACCAGCAGCACAGCCCTGACTGGGAGCCCCTTCTGCAGACCCTGGAGTCTATCTGGAGACACCATCCTCATTCCCAGTGCCCAGGAGGCAAAGGAGCATAGCTGCTTGTTAAATGCTGAGTCTGGGGCTAAAGTGGACCTGGATTCAATTCTGTTTCTGTCTTTCACTAGTGCTGTGTAGCTTTTTCAGCACATTAAACTTGCTGAGCCTCGATTTCTGCCTAACAGGGAAATCATAATAGTGTCTGCTTTATAGGAACGTCATGAAGTTAAGTTAGATAGAGCATGCAAAGCATTTATCATAGTACCTGGCATTGTAGGAGCTCTCAGTAAACGACATTATTGTTACTATTTGCCTCTCTGTGTATTTGACTCCCTCTAGAAAGATGGCCAAAGCCTCCTGTTAAACCTCCTTGGTCATCTCCTAACTCTCCATTTGTTTCCATTCTGGGGGTGGTCCCAGTTCATCACTGATTTGATTGATGGCATAGAGATTCTTCATTGTGCCTCAGTGAAGAAACCAATCCTTCTAGATACAAGTTATCAGCCGATGGAGAGCTGTTACTTATGTTATTATTTGTAGAGAGCACGTAGGTGAGAACCCTTCTCCACAAAAAAGGAAAGAGATGGACCCAGGTTACTCAATATAAAACGTAGACTTAATACGAAGAGTGTCTGCTCGTACACACTCTGATTTTCATTTGAAAGACCTTTTCCCTGTTATGTCCAGTCCCTAGAATCAATACTCCCTCTCATGCTCAGAAAGCACCACCACAGAGTAAGACTCTGGGGTCTTGTGACATTGGGCACATTTCTAGAATTCTCTGTGCCTCCGTTCATTCACTGTGAAATAGAGAAAATAACACTACTGACTGCATTGGGTCAGGTGAGTTACTGCAGAGACACTTCATGTGGTACTTATCACATAGCAAGCGCTAAGAATGACAGCTACTCATGCTTTCCTTCTCTTTTCCTCCCTCTTCCATTCTTTGTCTTCCTCATCATCTTCCTCATCAGCATCGTCGCCCAGGCCAAGCGTACAGGTATCAGGCCCAAAGGTGCTTCACTACAGCTTTCTTTTTTTTGCTTCTTGAGGTTACAGGGAAGCATCACCTATCATGAATATCTACACTCCTCCTGCCCCCCAATTTTTCTTCTAACTTTCGGTATCGTAGTTTCACCTTTTGTGCAATGCCAGCCCCAGAAGAATGATCAGTTTGGGTGTATTCTAGGCATGTTTGTGCCAATTTCACAGAGCAACATTGCATAGCAGCTAGTAATAGGACATAGAGATCTAAATTCACGTCCTGTTTCCCTCACCCTCTGGATGTGTGTCTGTGCCAAATGATGATGTAAACCCTCAGAGCCTTGATTTTCTGATCTGTGAAATGGTGATACTGTCCCCTTCATGGATTTTTGTGAGGTTTCAGTGAGATACTGCGTGTAAAGTTCGAACAGTGCCAGATTCATAATAAGCGATCAATGAACTCTTTGCTGAGCTGGGCCACTTCTCAAGTCCCAATTCCACCCTGCCCGGTGCCCATCCTGAGCTGCCATCCACCAACAGGGAAGTGGTGCAGGCTGCTGAATCTCATTCTTATGTGTTCTTTGGTTTCTCTCTTAGGAAAAGCACCTCATTTTCTGCGACTGCAAAACGTGGAGGTGAATGTGGGGCAGAATGCCACATTTCAGTGCATTGCTGGTGGGAAGTGGTCTCAGCATGACAAGCTTTGGCTCCAGGTAAGCGTGACAGAAGCCTCTGCTCAGACTTGTTAGGATAAGAAAGGGAAAAGAAGAAATGGAAGGAAGCAGCTCTATGGCAACACAAGTGTATTGAACAAAGACCTGAGGAGGAGGACACCAGCTAGCACTGGAGCCCGCCCCTGCTTACAAACTGGGGTAATTATAGGTCCAGGTGGGAGAGGTCTGGGCTTGTGAGATGGGGTGGGTGGTGTGGTCAGCTGCTGATAAGCAAGGAGTTTCCTGGGGTCAGGTGGTTAAGTCTGGGACTTGTCTGGCGGGATGTGTCTCATGGCCCGAGCTCCAGTAGAATTTTCTGCTCTAACCAGCATTTGCAAAATGGCAGAGGTTTACAAAATGGGGCAGCTTGGGCTAACAATGCTGCCTTCTCCCTTGATAAGGGTAGAAAGTGTGTGCTGTGGCGAAGGGTTTGCTGTGTAAGGGGAAGGGATATTTTTAAAGTACTTCTGTTCCTTTGATGGTGCCCTGCATCTATGATCTTGTTAAATCTTAACTGCAATTCTGCTAGGCAGGCATTGGTATAACCATTTCATACATGCAGAAACCGAGACCACAACCTCAAAGTTCTATAACTGGAATTTGTAACTGTGACCTTTTCCAACTACCCTCTAACAAACTTTGTCTTTTAATTGTAGATTACTAGGGCTAAGGCAAACGGAATATCTTAGGTTCTGGGTATGTGGTTGTCATGTAATCTTAACTGGAAGGTTCTTGGATATCCAGTGATTGACTAGTACATCTGGATAAAATTAGAGAGTTGCTCTTTATGGGAATTTTTCACTAAAATGAGCAATCTGTCTGTTCTTTGGTTAAATAAGTCCATTAGTAAAGTCCATCAGGGAAGTGTTTTAAGCTTGAATTTGCCTTCCTGTTATTTCTGCTAATTCATGCTACTTTCCAAGAAAGATGAGAAAGGATCTCTTTGAGTGGGGGTTAGAGACAGAGGGCGACACACAGAACTAAAACATAACTTGTTAGAACATTAGCATACTTGTATTAATACCAACACAAATAGCAAGTTTTTGGAGCAGCGCAGAAGTGGGAGCTGTGCTGTTTGGTGCAGGAACCACTAACTACATGTGGCTGTGGTTATTTAACATTAAAAAAATTATTTCTATACAAAAATTAGCTGGTCGTGGTGGCGAGTGCCTGTAATCCTGGCTACTTGGGAGGCTGAGGCAGGAGAATCACTTGAACCTGGGAGGTGGAGGTTGCAATGAGCTGAGATTGCACCAGTGCACTCCAGCATGGGCAACAGAGCAAAACTCCTTCTCAAAAAAAAAAAAAAAAAAAAAAAAATTCTAAATAGCTTTATTGAGTTATAACTGAGATGTGATGTTTAAAGTATACAGTTTTAATATGTTTATGTGTGAAAGTATTACCACAATCAAGATATTGAATGTACGCATGACATCCAAAATTCCATTCCCATGTATAATCACTTCCTTCTGACCTCCCCACTCCCATCTGTTGCAGGCAACCCCCAGTCTGCTTGCTGACAATACGTATTAGCTTGCATGTTCTAGAATTTTATATAAATGGAAGCATGCAGTGTGTACCCTTCTTTCCTACAACATACTTATGTTGTTGTGTGTAACAATATTTATTATTTTTTGCTAAGAAATATTTCATAGAATGGATGTGCTACTATTTGTTTAGCCATCTACCTGTTGATGGATACCTGTTGAGTTGTTGGCAGTTTCTGGCTGTTACAAAGAAGTTGCTGTGAGCATGCATGTGTGAGTCTTCGTATGGACATGTTCTTTCATTTCTCTTGGGTATGAAAGTGAATTAGAAGTGGAATGGCAGGGTCATCTGGTAGATATATGTTTAACTTTAAAGAACAACGAGCTGTTTGAAAAAATGGTTGTACCATTTTACGTTCCTACCAGCAGTCTATGAAAGTTCTAGTTGCTCCATATCCTCACCAGCACTCATTATGGTCAGTCTTTAGTTTTAGCATTTGAATAGGTGTGTAATGGGAGCACGTTGTAGTTTTAATTTACATTTCTTTGAGGACTGATGATACCAAACATATTTTCATGTATTGTTTTTCCTAGCTGTCTCTCCACACACTTTGCTGGAAGTTCATGTTGTCACTTCTCTTCTTGAATTTAAGCCATTTCCTGCAGTTAGAAAATCCTTGGGAGTAAAGAGCCCATCTAGGGGCCAACAGTTCTTCCTTGCCACTTAGCAGCACTGCAGAGTGAAATACCTGTTCTTTCTGCTTCCCAAGGTTGCTTGCAGACCACAGGAGAGCGCAGGAAGCCTCCACATGTCACCTCAGTATTCGGTAGTGTTATTTACTCTTTTCATAACAATTAGTGTTCAGATGTATTAGGCTGCCAAGAAGCTGTGTGATTTCAATGGCATTGCCTCAGGTGGGTCATGAGAATGAGGCAGGACCATCACAATATTTTCAACAACTTTGTTTGGGTTTTCGAATTATTTTCTGATTGTTATTGTGGCAGTTCTGAGTTGCATGCCCTGAACCTTGGGTCTGTCAGTGGGAGGATGTTAAAGGAGATCATAATTGAATATTTGAAGAAAACAGATGGAAACACATGACATGGAGCTCTTCCACGTCTTATCTTCTTGTCAGTGTAAACCAAATCTTATTTCACAAAACGTCTTCCAGGTGGCTTTCAATGGGACATAAAACATGACAAGATATCATAAATTAAAAGTGAGGCAACACCAGATAGAAGGAAAAAATACACAGAGCTGGTAATAATGCAAAAACCGCATTTCTGCACACCTGTTACTAACTGGCGGGTCACACACACAGCCTGCAGCTTTGTAACCATTAGTGGAATAAAGGAAACTCGTCAGATACACAGTTCACAATGTCTGTGAGATTAAAAAAAAGCAATTGCTCAGGAAAATTCTACCTGTTGTTCACACAGAAGCCAGACAGGAATTGTTCCCAGGAGTCCCTGTAAAGAAAACACTGTATGATGCAATGAACAGTTTTCCCCACCACAGTCTTACTGAGGTCACACAAGTGAGTTTCACAGGCCTGTTTCTTATGACGGCTGTGAGAAAGCAGTCTGGGGAGGAGAAGGCGGAGAGAGGGATGAAGTGGACAAGAAGATATGGCAGCATCCGCTGCTGTCTGCCAATCTGTCTCCATCCTGGGGCACTTGAAACGTATCTGGGAAGTGAATAGATTCAATAACGATTTTTCCAAGGAAACTTCCCTAAATATTGTCTCTCTCATCTACATTTCAGAAAATATGGGGAGGTACACAGTTTATATTGTGCTCTCTGACAAATACCTGTGTGGCTAGGTAAGTCCAGGCTTATATGCAGTAGGGTAATTGGAAGTAGATTGTATTAGTCAGGGTTCTCCAGAGAAGCTGTGTGTGTGTGTGTGTGTGTGTGTGTGTGTGTGTATAATTTTATATATTTTCATATGTAATAGTATGTTATATATTATATAACATGATTATATATAATTGTTATCCTATATTATATATAATATTATATAACATAATATATAAAATATATAATTATATGTAATGAATATATTTATATATTTAAAATATATATTTATGTATAATCTTTATATAGCACTTATTAAAGAAAATATTTATACATTTTATAAAATATAAAATATATTATAAAATATATTAAGGAAAATATTTATATAAGTATATATTAATATATATTTGTGTATATATAGTATTTTTTAATGAGTGTTTCCTTATAGATGGAAACAATTCCATCCATAGTAAGTCTTTTCCTTCCATATATAATAAGTCCTTCCTATGTGGAAGGAAAGGACTTAGTACAAGGAATTGACTCATGTGACTGTGGTAAGTGAGAAGTCTCATGATCTCCCATCTGCGAGCTGGAGATCCAGGAATGGCAGTGGTGCAATTCCAGTCCAAGTTCAGGAGAAGACCATTATTCCAACTCAGGCAACCAGGGAGGAAGCAAAAGGGGCAAACTCTTCTTCCCCTGCTTTTCTGTTCTATTCTTCCAGAGGTTGGATGGTGTCCATTCATGCTGGGGAGGGCCATGTACTTTACTGAGTCCACTGATTCAAATGCTCATCTCATCCAGACACCTTCACAGACACACCCAGACATAATGTTTAATTTGGGTACTCTGTTAGAGTCAAGTTGACTCATAAAATTAACCGTTGCATAGGTTAACATCTTTCTACGAAAAGAAGGCATCTATCAAGACTCCTGCCACCCCAGAGATGATCACAGCCACCATCCAAGACAGGCCAAGGCAGTGGCCAGTTTCTCATGAGATGTTTCTTCAGATGTGTCCCAGCACTGGAGGACTGGCTGGCACTCTCGCCATTGTTCTGCCTCCTATAATAAGGCTGCGGTGACTTAGCCTGAGAATTTCCAAAGCAAATGAAACAGGCACACCATGGCCAAAAGAGTCTCTAGAAGACAGCTACAGCAGGCCTACTGTTTAGCAATGCTACTTCCTGCTGTAGCTTCTGAGATATGCTGAGGAGTTTCGCTAAGTTACTGAAAGTGGTAACTTTTCAAATCAGCCAGTTGTAATTTAGGGAAATGAAGATGTTGTTTCCGGGATGGCAGGTATGTCAGTGGCTCTTCTTTCTGACAATGATTAGAAAGCAGCCAGTGGACTCATAGTTTGAGATAAATCCCTGTTGCCTGTGTCATGGAATGCTGGCCTTCCTTTCTGTAGAGTGGGACTTTATAGCTTGCTTTTCCTTACGTGGTTTTGGATCATAAATTAACACGTTAAAAGGAGGACCAGCCAATGCCTTTGTTTTGCACCCCTCTGGAAGCTTTATATGTCTTTGGAAGACCCCATCTGTTGGTGCTGGCTTTTGTGGAATTATAGTTCAAGTTCTACATGAGAATCAATAGACAGGACCGATGCAGAAATGCAAACACGTGAGCCTAGAACAATGGTAGTGAATCAGGGAAAAGGATTATAGAAGGATAGTAAAAAATTATAAGCAAGTTTTTCTTGTCCTAGGATCA